GCAGCGTTCCGGAACCAGACGACAATGGAGCAGACAGTACACTCGTACTGTCTGCTAAATGTTAGTTATGTTAGCTTTTTATGTTTATTTTTACCTGTACAGCACTTTGGCAACTTCGGTTATTTTAAATGTGCTCTATAAATAAAATTTGACTTGACTTGACTTGACTTAAAACATAAACAACAGAGCATGGATGCAAAAAAAAATGTATATGTGCTTTATATAACTTCATAGTCTGAGGTTTTAGAAAGCACATCCATCCAACGCAGTCAGTATGCAGAATAGCAGACAGTACACTCGTACTTTCTGCTCCATTGTCGTCTGGTTCCGCAACGCTGCCTCAAACTTTTGCGTTACCTCGCGAAAGGTTTTGCGAGGGAACGCAAAAATATTGCGATGCGCAAAAGGTTTTGCGACGGAACGCAAAAATATTGCGATGCGCAAAAGGTTTTGCGAGGGAACGCAAAAGAAAAAAAATTCCCCATGTCCCCTAGGGGGCTCCGTAAAATAGCACAGTGTTTCATCTGGTGAGAAAAACGGATTAGCTTAATTATGTTGAGGTTGGAAGGCCTTCTCTGCTGGCCTAAGAAAATATCTGAATCACAGACTGATGTTAATCATATTTTGTCCATGAATGCTTATTAAATATTTACAAATGGTCTGTCCACTTCCTTTTTATAGCTTTTCCCCTGGTTGTGCTGCTTCCAGACATGTATTTTCATTTTAAAGCGTTTAACCAATCACATTTCAGCCATCACTTGTTGCTAGGCAGGTTCAAAGTCAAAGATGTCTGCCTGGAGGCCTTCACAATCTGTTCTGCGGGCCCTCTAACAGATAATAATAATAAATAATAAATCAATAATAATAATAAATGTCGATTAAACTTTTGCTTTAACCTATCAGATTTGAAGTTGGTGACACCAGGCCCTTCTAGCTCTCTGCCTTCTGATTGGATAGTCAGATAGCATACCGGCTAAAGCTAGCAAACTAACCCAAATAGAGTTGTGCTATTTTATCTCCCCACAATGGCTGAAGGAGGATAAGAAATTTATTTGGTGACAGATTTACTGTCAAGGCCATTTTCAAGATGGACTTTTCAAGAAACGTGAGTAAAATGTGTTTTTTTCCTAAATAATATTGCAAGTTTATGAGGATATTACTGATGTTTTTAGTTGTTTTTTTTGGGGGGGAGGGGGGTCGCAGCTGCTCTTTATACTGTATTTCTACATAAAGAGATGATTTTTATAAATATAAAATACATATTGAGGGGTGAATTGATACAGAAGGAGCACTACAGAAGGCCTAGGTGTGAAATGCACGGTCCGCCACTCGGTTCTTGTTTATGGGTTTCTTTATAATCTGTCTTCTAATGCATTATATTGCGAAATACCTTCATCTGACCCAACACAGACAAAGTGCTTAGTATTTTCTACATGTAATTACTGAGTCCAGGTAAAAGTGCTGGTTCATGATGACCTCACACACTGCTTCATTAAACAAAAGTGGGAAGAAAAAATAGAGGGAAAAAAAGGATAAGAAAAAAGAATTAGAAAAAATGAAAAAAAATGAAAAAAGGGGAAAAAAGGAAAAAGGAAAAGAATAGATAAAATAAAGAAAAAAAAGAAAAAAAAGAAAAAAAGGGGAAAAAAAGAGAAAAAAAAGAGAAAAAAAAGAGAAAAAAAAGAGAAAA